CCTTCTTTCTATAAGAAATCTCAACGGCAGGAAGTTGAAGTTTGCTCTTACTCCCACTATTGTTTTGCCCACATGTGGTCATTCTGTTTATTTCTTAAGGGAAGTAAATATTGATGGAGGAAGATCTAATGAGAACTTGTCTGCTATTATATACAATTTACAGGCTACCATTTCAAATGTAGTTCAGCTGTTCAAGACTTCTGTTTATTTACTCAAACCATATTTATGATAGCGGTGTTGCCATTGTTGATGGAAGGACAACTCATAGAGAATCTCTGCCTCAGGATTATTGTAACTGTTATTATTACAATAATAAAAAAGGAACAAAATATTATAGAAAGTAGAAAGTGAGTTAGAAATTAAGGCACTTTTTACTGAGAGGCATCTTCAAAGTAGAAAGATCAAACCTTTGGGGAAAAAATATCATTAGTGGAGCCTGAGTTTTAGGGCTGGGGATGAGGGAGCTTAATGTAGGTTTTCAAATTGTGAATTTTTAATGTTGTATGCTGCCTGGAGCTGCAAACAATTTTCTCTGAATCATTTCAAGGAAGCAATGCACCAGACAAGTAAGTCAAGGCATTCAAGCGTTCTTTTAAAATAAACAAAGAGTGTCTGCTTTGTTCACTGATTCTGGGGAGGGGAGGAGATTCAATATCAGCCTAGGGCAGTGATGGCTAACCTTTTCTGGACTCAGTGACCAAAGAACGCACGCACAAACCTCCAAAATTGCAATGTGCATGTGGCCCCTGTGCATGTGCCCTGCCCCCATGCATACACATGCAGCACCCGCGTGCATGTGCCCCCACATGCGCCCTGCTCCCATGCATGCACGTGCACCCCCTGCATACTTCCTGTGCATGCGTGTGCACCCTGTACATGCACTCCATCCTCCTGCATGTGCCCCCCGCATGCACTGTCCCCCTCACATGCGCCCCACACACACATGCCCCCTGCCCCCCAAGCATGCACGACACAGACCCAAAGACCAGCTGGCTGGTGGGAAGCATGCCCAGATGCGTGGAGTTGTGCTGGGGCGATGGCTCATGTGCCCACAGAGAGGGGTATGCGTGCCACCTCTGGCACGCGTGCCACAGGTTCACCACCACGGGCCTAGGGGTTGGTATACCATCTGGTGGCCCCGCATAGAAAGATACTTGAAGGGACATCAGAGTATCACAATAATTCTAGAAGAAAGTCTTGTACATGTCTTTGGTTTGGACCAGGGGTATCACGTGACGTATCTGGAGTTTTTCCCCCTTTGCTAAACTGGGCGTGGCCGTAGCCAGCGCATGACGCATCCAGCCCATGGGCCGGGAGTTTGACAGCCCTGGTTTGGACAAAGGACACAAAGAGGAATTAAATGGGAATTGGTTCAGTTATACTTCCTGGAGAGAATCTCTCAAGAGCATGAAATAAAGGTGATTTAAACTGCTTAGGCTTTGCCTAAAGGGGGGAAATCGATTCTTCCTCTCAGCTGTTTCTATGGTAAATGAGAAAGAATCTCTAGCATTTGGCTAGGCTTGGGGGCACTGTACTGTATCTAAGGATGGCAAAAATAACCAAGAGAAGAGGAAGAAAGGACAGAAACGTGAAAAATCAGCAGGGAGGGCATCAACAAAAATCAAAGTCATATCTGCAACCATAAGATTGAAGTTGACCTTTTTCTTTAGATGTGTCACATGCATGATATATGCAAAAACCGGGAAAATTTCCAGGAGCTACTGACTTGACTTTTTTGCCTTCCCCTCTAGAGAAATACAAAACAGAGTTAAAATACTAAACAGAATCTGGGATGAAATGTGCAAAACTCAATGGTCTTCTCTTCTTAATGAGGCTTTTGAGGAGGCTAACGCATTCTGAATTCCCATGATTGCCATAAAGCAGGGGAAGCCCGGTCATCTGCAACATGCTTAGAAATTCAAATTTTTAGCAGGCTAGTAAAAAGAAACCCTGTTAGTGTAGGATACTGGCGGAAGAAGAATGGACGGGCAATCCACTAGCCTGCAATTAAATTCTGCACTAGCGAGAACACTTCTTTCTTTGTGGTCATCAAGGAAATTATGCTGGGAGTTAGCAGAGCAGTCCTGCTTTGCTCATCAGCATGGAATTTGTTCTCTCTTAAATTCTGCTAAAATACAAAAGATGACTATGAAGAACATCATCTCAATGAACCCTACTGAGTATGGGGGAGAGGAGAAGAACAATTATCAGAAATATGCATTGTATTCTTAAAAAGAGCTGAAGAAAAAAGGCTGAGTGTATCAGAATCACTCAGAAATTAACTCCCCAAGCTAATACAACAATCTTCACACAACTACTCTGCTTCTAGCATGTTGTGACTCATATAGCACAGCTTTCCATGCAGCTTTCTCCATTACTGTATATAGAAGCAGGATACTTTTGCACTGGAGAATGGCTGGGATATTTTTCATGGCAACTCTTTTTTTTTTTTAATTTGATTTATATGCCGCCCTTCTCCGGAGACTCAGGGCAGCTTACAATGCGTTAAGCAATAGCCTTCATTCTTTTGTATATTTTATACAAAGTCAGCTTATTGCCCCCACAAACTGGGTCCTCATTTCACCTACCTTAGAAAGGATGGAAGGCTGAGTCAACCTTGAGCCTTGGAGAGATTCGAACCAGCAGAAATTGCAGGCAGCTGTGTTAATAACAGGGTGCACTAAACCCCTGTACTATCAAGGCTCTCAATCATTTAAAAACCAATTCAAACCACAGAGCCCTCTTTTGCAATAGATACTTATTGATATTACCAAATCCAATGGCTTGCTGTGGAAATACACATGGATTGAATGTGTTGTATAATATACTACACAGTATTATTAATAATTAATATTGAAATAAAGCTGAAATTATTCCCATCATTACAGTGGCTCTTTGTTATCCCAAGATAGTTCCAGTTCTGTAGTTTAAAGAACTGCAGTAGCAATCAGGTAATCATATTCAATAATACAGCAATAATGAAAAGACCAGTGTAAAAATGTTAGCTCTAATTCGCCATCAACTAGATCATATTGAGCATTTATGTGCACTTTATATATATAGAATAGAAATGTTACATTTATGTATAAGCGTATGCACCAAGACAAATTCCTTGTGTGTCCAATAAAGAATTCTATTCTATTCTAAATGAGATGAAGTTAAACATGAATATCAGCATTTGGAGATAAAGGAGTATGCAGGAAAAATAATTAGACAAAAAATCTAAAAATTATTTGGGAATAAGTCCGATTTAGAAAGTCTTACTTCTCAATAGGTGAGTGGGAAAAAATACAATACAAGCTGTACCTTTAGAGGTATTTGGCAATGTTAATGTATGTGTAAGTGCCATTTTACCTTCCAATAATTACTTTTCTTTGGGTTCTTTAATATTCAGACTTCTCCTTTCCAGCAGGTAGGATCTACAGCGCAGCTTCCTACAACAAAACTGTAAAATGCCCTGAGATAAAGAGCAGAAAAAGAAAAGAGGGATGATGTTTCAGAATAGCCTTGGAAATAGCAGCTTGATCATACATATATACATACATGTGTTTCAGAAATAAACTCAGTTGATTAAGTAACTTAAAATTAGCCAAAAGCACAACCTTGAAACAAATTCTATATATTTAAAACACCTTTTTACATGCTCCTAAACAAGACTTCACATGTCAGATGGTTGGAATATTCATCAGATGTGATTGTTCACACATACATTTCAAAATTAAAATACCCCAAGTGAGGCAGAATGCACTTGTATGCTTGTTTGAGTGAAGAAAATGAAAGTTGCCTGAATGAGATGAAACTACTCAATAGCCTCTGACAAAAGTTTAATGCTGAATTCAGTGGGGCTTAATAAAGGAGAATATTTGTAGCTCAGAGTTGATATGAGGGAGTCCTGAGTGCTCTCTTGGTTGTTTTGTTGCAGGCATTTCGTTACTCAAACTAGATAACATCATCAGTGCTGATGGTTACTAGTTTGGGTAACGTCTCCAAGAAAACCAAGCTCAGAGAACACTAAGGCTCCCTCAATGGGGCTTATTTCTAAGGCAGGGGTCTGCAACCTTAAATATTCAAAGAGCCATTTGGACCCCTTTCCCACAGAAAAGAAAACACCGGGAGCCACAAAATCTGGGTAGGCGTAGCCAACTCAATGTCACTCACTTCCACCGATCACATGACCACACCTACCCAGCCGGTCATGAGGGCAGACAACCAGTTGTTAAAAAACACCGGGAACCAAAAAATCCTTTTGACATATCCCTCTCTCTTCTTTCTGTATCTCTCTATGTCTATCTCTCTCCCCCTCTCTCTGTATCCCTCTCTCTCTGCCCTAGCCCGCCCCCGCTGTTGCCCTTACCTTCTCAGGCCAGGCGGGCAGTGACTGGGAGGGGAGGGCAAGGGGCGGGGCCAGCCAGTGTTGGGATCACCTGACAGGGAGCCACAGCAGAGGGCCCAAAGAGCCACATGCGGCTCCGGAGCCGTAGGTTGCTGACCCCTGTTCTAAGGGAAGATCAAGTATACTTTAGTGAATTCGTGCAATGAATCGGTCCTATAGACACCTGCTATAATCCAAATTCGGAATTGCTGAAACGAACACCTTGAATAAGGACATAAAATATGCATTTTCTGAGAGCCTTCATAAAGTCTGGACTTCAATTCCTATCAGTCCAACCAGGAGTTGGCGTTGGCAAAGGCTCACGGGACCGAAACAACCTGGCTTCTTTGCAAGCTACGGCTTACCCCCATCACCCGCTGCTACTCTCTCGTGGATCTGACTCCACAGTAAAGGCAGCTTCAAGCCAGCGAAAGCGCCAACGGCGTCTTCCACGCTCCATCGTGGACTACCTATGCTGCGGATAACCGGGCGGGGCGGTGTTGAGCGTGGAATCCTGCGCAATCGCGGCGCCTGGCGGCGGCGAAAGGAAGGGGCGACCGCGCGCTTCGGCTGCGAAATCCTCGGTGATCCGAGGGGGCGGGTCCCGAGTGTTCCGTGCGGGAGATGGGAGGGCTGCTTTAAAGCCAAACGGGGCGGGTTGGAGGCTTGTCGTGCCCCCTCCGCGGAGCATGGCTTGGCTGGCTTGGTTGCTGTGGATTTGGGCTCTGGTAACCGCACTCGCCGTTTCGGGTCGCCGGGCTTTGAGTTACGTTTTTCACCGCTGCGGGAAAAGGCAGCTTTCCCTGCTGATGCCCATGGCTGTGGCGGGTTCCCTGCTGCTCCGCATTGGGTAAGTCGGGGGGGGGGGGCGGGGGACGATCTTTTTCGTAGTGGCTACTACAAGAACGTGCTCCGGGACTTAGCACATTCTTGGGCTGACAAGGTGCATTCACCCCGGTCTGCTGCAACTGGGAAGGTCTTGGCGGTCGAAGGAGCTTGAGACGGAGATCTACCAGATCTGAACTGCAAAAAACCAGGGCGGCCGCTAAATGGCAGCCAAGAGTTCTTTCTGCGGATTTTTTGCAGCCTTGGCTAGAATAGCCGGGGATATGCGGGGTGGAATTTTGTCTCTTTCTTTGAGGCTGCAACGAGATAGCTGCAGTCATTGTTCCAGGGCTTTGGCTTCAGCGGGGGGTATCTACTTCGATCTTAAAGGATGTATACAAAGCCGCCTTTCCTTCAGTCGTGGGAGAGGACAGTCTGTTTAATTGTGGTGGTAGTGGGGAAAGAGTTTCTGTGCGCCTGCGCGGGGGGGATTAATTGACTTTTGCAAAACCAACGCGGAGGAGGAGAAAGGAGGAATTCGGCAGTTCTGTTAGTGGGCGAGAGGAACGATAGGTCAGTAGGTTCGAGGCTGCTTTGCAGAGTTCACGGAGACCGGGTTGGGTCCCATTTGTGGCATTGGAACAAGCAACCTTACCCAGGGGCGTCGCAGCACCCAGAAAGCGACCGTGCGGAGGCGAGGCCGACCGCGACGCTTTTGTAAAGGCAAAGATTAGATTTAAACCGGTCTGTAAGAAACTGCCGGCGTTTGCTTTGCGGCTAGGAAAGACGCGCTTGCGCCGCACTTCTGGGAGCAAACTAGCGCGGAGGCTGGATTGATTGGCAATGATGGATGCCTGCGCATCAAAGGAACATCGGGATCCGAGCCTCTGCGTGCGTAAGCGGTGGCTTTGCGCAGGTAGCTGGCTCTAAAGGGGGTCGGGGGCGTACAATACCCTGGGTGCCTGTTCCCTTCCTCCCAAATCGAAAGTCAAAAGAAGGACGAGATTCTGCTGTGCGCAACTTTTGTGGGATTTTTTTTTTGCCTACGGCGGTTGCTTTTTGGTGGTTTTTTTCTGAAAGAGCTGGAGCATGACGAGCATGTTTTCTGGAAATGCCTGTCATTCAAAAAAAAAAAAAATTAACAATAGCATTACTATGCTGTTCTCGCTTCTTTGCCGTTTAGCATAAACGCATTTTCCTCTTTTCCAGGAGTCTCCTTGGGTGGTGGGGAAGAGCGTGGCAGATCATATGCTTTGTATAAAATATATATCCCGTATATATGACTGGGCCAACCCCTTAGTACTTCCATGTGGAGCCGGGGAAACCGGCTTAAAAATCCCAGAAAATCATTGTGTTAATCGTAACAGAATGGTTCATCGGTGACGTTAATCTCTAAACTGGCATATGCTTTATTACTTAATCATTTAGCTCCGAATTCTGATCCTTGTATTCATTCTAGGTCAAAAATAAACAAATGGGGAATAAAGTGTAATGCTGAATTTAGAGCCCTGTGGAATACATTTAAGTCACAGTTTGAAGGAAGGAGAAGAGGTGGTGAGAAAACACAAACTGTCAAGATCAGACTGATATTAATCCAAGGAGTATCAAGTGAGCAGAATGCTTGCTTACATAAAACAAAAAGGGCACGGCCTCTGCGGAGGAAAAAGCCTTGCAAACTCTGCTGTAGCCGATGTATTGTGCATGTGATACAGAGAAAAGGGGCATGTTTTCTACTAATAGTTCTTCAAACTCCCCTCCCCCATCTTTTGTGATTAAAAAGGCTAATGCCTTGAGTAGAGGGTTACAGATTAGGCCTTAGAACAATAACATTTCCCAATAGGTGAAATAATAAGACACATGAGCCATCAGGAACTTGGAATACCTACCGCCCCAAAGTCCCCTAACCTCTAAGTGCTTTCTTACTCATCCATTACTAAAGGCAAGAGACACTTGACAATGGAGATGGATGGAGATACATACCGGTAACTCACTAAAAAAACGAACAGAGCTTTTAGCTTTTAAGGGAGAGTGCCAGATCCTGCTGGGAACAAAGAAGAGGAAGTCAGAAATTATTTTTGGAAAGACGCTGAAATTCCTAACACAGAATTCTCCTTTGTCCCTGGCTCTTCCAACATCAGCAAGTGAATTTACAGTATCTTTTTGAGAATCGGTGAAGGAAAAACCTCCCAAATCTTTTCCAGCCGTTTTTCATCTTCTCTCAAAAGTCCCCACTCTAAGATTGGATGCAGATCTTACAGAAACAAATTTGCGAAGAAGAAATTTCTTGTATTCTAATTTGGTGAAATTTATGCTACTGTATGGATAGTTTGCTTATATGTTTGCATTCTGTCTTCCTCCTTCCCTCCCTCCCTTCCTTCCTTCCTTCCCTCCTTCCTGAAATATGTCCCAAAGGTGCTTTTGCCAAAAGGCAACTGGACTTTATTGGTTTTTTTCCTTTGAAAAAGTTTCGCTTCTCATCCAAGAAGCTTCTTTAGTACTAACTGGCTGGAGGGGAATGATAATATTTAAATTCTTTGCAGTCATCTGGTCGTTACACTCTCAGGATGGGTAGTTAGCTCTCTGAGAGTAGTTGAGGCCACTTGGTGTTTTATCTGTGCCCTCAAAGTCACCCGAATCAGAGTGTCTGGGGACGGCTGAAAGGACTGATTTATAGGCAGGAGATAGGTGATGTCATATCCCTCCCCCTCTATTGAGGGAGGGCTTGTTCAGTTTTAACATAGATGGCCTCTTTGACCCCTCTTTCAAGCTAGTATCTTCTTTGTCCAGAATGTGAACTTTTTCGTATTTCCATAATGAAATGTTTTCAAAGAAAAAAGCGAGAAAGTCCAGTTGCCTTGGAAAAAATACCTTTGGGACAACCAGGGCTTCAATGATTGAGACATTCAGGAATAGACATTCCTGAAATATGGGTCGTATATATGGAGTTTCCAGGTAGCATTTTATCCATAAAATTCAAGTTATCCTTGAATTGATCGACCCCTAGTGATTTTGACAATAAGACGGGAATGATTTGCCACTGCTTTCAGTATTTGTTGACTTCCTACAGACCTAGGATTTCTTATTGGTCTCCCATCCAAATATCAATTTGTTTAGCTTTTTCAAGATCAGTCTAAGTCAGCAAGGGCTGCCACCAACTTGGTTTTGCATTTAGATATTGATCAACTTCAGTAAGATAGTTGAGTTGTTGGTTCCAGGTTAGGGTTATTGTTTGAGTAACGTCAGCTCTTCAATCTTGGGTTTAATTCCTTTCTCCTCCTGACATACCAGTACAGGTTGCAAAGCTGTGACTTCAGAGAAGCCCAGATGAAAAATGATGGGGCACAAAAGGCTGAAAATATTTATAAATATCTATGTATGTAAATCACATGTAATCTATGTAGGAAGTATTACCAGGGAATCTAATGAGCATGAATCTTTGCCTTTCCTGAAAGGTATTTTAGTTTGGTTTTTATTGCAAAGTCAGATCTCTGCTGATCTCCAAATTACCAATGTATGAATCCATTTTTACTTTCTACATTTTAGGCTTATGGGGCAAAGGATTCATAGACTTATATAGGTAGTCTTTGTTTTACAGCCAGTTGCTTAAGAACTATTCAAAAGTTACAATCAACTCAACAATTTACTTATGAACCATCCTCAAAATTATGACTGCTGAACCACTCCTGTGGACCTGTGACGGTATTTCAGGTGCTTGGCAACCAGCTTGCATTATCACTGTTGCAGCATTCCATGATCCCATGATCATATTTTGTGACATTTTTTTGCTGTTTTCTAGCAAAGAACACCCATTCAATAAACTGGATTCAGACTTAGGACCAAGTAATTTGCTTAATAACCATGTGATTTGCTTAATGATTTGACATTAAAAAAAAATCAGTCGTAAAATGAAATCTGGTCATTTGGTGACTCAATTGATGACCGCAAACAAATTATAACCATAATTCCAGGCTCAATTGTGTAAATTGAGGTCTTCCTGTATGTGCCCTAAAGTGGGGATTTCAGACTTGAAAATAGTTCTTTGCAGGCTTATGATTCTGAGGATAATTTTCAGGAGATTAGGAATCTGGCTTTGATTTAAGGCATAATCTTAGTCAAATCTCCATCCTTAATCCTCTGGCTTAATGAAAGGGAGATGTCAGATGTATTGTTGAGTCATGGGTGTTCTTTTCTTGCAGAGGGAGATTCCTTTTTTAATATGTATAAATTGAGAAGAAAAAAAGAAGAAAGCCAATAAATTAAACTAGCAATAGCAGCAATAGCAATATACTGCTTCACAGTGCTTTGCAGCCCTCTCTGAGCGGTTTAAAGAGTCAGCATATTGCCCCCAACAATCTGGGTCCTCATTTTACCTACCTTGGAAGGATGGAAGCCTGAGTCAACCTTGAGCCAGTCAGGATCAAACTGCTGGCAGTGAGCTGAATTAGCCTGCAATACTACATTTTAACCACTGTGCCACCACAGCTCTGCATGCAGTTTAGGAAGTTGTCACCTCTGCATTAGACTCTTGTCTGCCTGCTTTATAGATAATTATTGGAAACCAAATGGAGATGGGTTTAGCTATTCAAGCAGAATTATCTGTACAGGTAGTCCTTGACCACAATTGAGCCCAAAATTTATGTTGCTAAGTGAGACACTTGTTAAGTGAATTTTGCCACGGTTGTTAAGTGAATCACTGCAGTTGTTAAGTTAGTAACACAGTTGTTAAGAGAATCGGACTTCTCCTTTGACTTTGCTTGTCAGAAAGTCGCAGAATGTGATCTCATGACCCCGGAACCGGAACACTGCAACTGTCATAAATATGAGTTGCCAAGCATCTGAATTTTGATCTCGTGACCATGGAGATGCTGCAACAGTCATAAGGGTGAAAAGTGGTCATGTGTCACTTTTTCCCCTGCTGTTGTAACTTTGAATGGTCACGGAATGAACTGTTGTAAGTCGAGGACTACCTGTATTCCAGTACTGTGCTCATTTGGGGAGTTGTCTTCTATGTGTTTGCATAAAAAT